GAGTGTGTTATGGCCCACTTCTATGGATGTTTTAATTAGCTGTGTATGTGGCAGCTCTTCTGAAGCCAGCTGTTTTATATTTCATTAGTCCAAGGTGTGGCAATGTTGTTGCAGAGGAATGACGGGAACTGCTTGTAAAGTTTCTGTTTATCTAACTAATACCACCAATTTCAAATGTAAATACACATGAACAACTCTATACAAAACCCTGACTAAAACACTGTACATCCCCTTTGGTCCTGTCTTGAATCCAGCTGAAACCATGAAGTGCAAGATTTCACAAAAGAACCATCCGTTAACATCTTCCTAGCAAACACCATATTTGAACCTGGGGCCAAGTTCACTCAACTTTTATGAAATGCAAATGACTTCTCAAGAAAATAAAAATGATGGTTTGCCGAGGCGTCATTATCCATGGGACTAAGGTGTGAGCTAGAAAATCCCTGCAAACATTTCATTCGATGCTGTGTCCCACATGTTGTCATTGGCACGGCGCTCAAGGCCGAACTTAGACTTCCGGAGAATGACTGATATGAAGCCCATCCTTTCACTCAAATAAACACTGAAAACAACAGGGCCCCTCGAGCCATAACACAGGCAATATTTCACCACCCACAACAAAGGCGTCAATGACTTAGCGGGACACTAGAGAAGCACCTGCAGAGGCAGCGCGTAAAAGCCTATTGTCAGATAATGGATAAGAGAAGGAATTGTTTTCTGTTTATCTTAACCGGCTGCACGTGGAAAAGCACGACTTTGCATGTTCCTGCCAAATACACAGAATGTGAGCGAAGACAGCAGATGCTGTTTTCTGTTTTTTTCTTCCTAGAAGGAACATCTTCCATCTTGCCCAAAGTCTTGACTACAGTTGCTTCAAAAGAAGTAATAATAAAGAAGGCTGTGTTGGCGGAAAAGTGACTGACACCAAGTACAGAGTAAAAAGGCAGAAAGCTGCTGCCCACGCTCACGTTAATCGAGAACGAAGCACATGTCTGTTAGGAGAATTAAAAGAAAGAACATGCAATAGTTGAATCCAAATGATTGTGTATGTTGGACTGCAACCGAGATGACTGTTAGTAGCGGTATTCATAATAAGAACAGCAAAAGCAGTCCCATGAGAGAAAACAGGCTTAGGGATTTGATTCAAAGCTCATGGAAATAAATGCAAAAACATCATCTTGTCCTGGCTGTTCACCCTAAACTTTCTTCACAGTCAATGCAGAAAGAAAGCATGTCCATTTAGTATAGGATCATCGCTTTCTTGAGATGCCATCTTTCTCCACTGACTGCAAAGAAAACCTAGGTAAAGGATAATACTGACTGTTAAGCTCTGTTGTCGGGTGCTATTACGTATAGCGTTGTTGTAAGTGTAATTTGAGAGGATTACTCAGGACTGCATATTTGCCACCACCCATGCAACCCTGTGTATTTTTGCAAAGACAATTCATTTTTTGGTCACAGCTTCCTTGAGATCTACTTTGACTCATACTTTAGCAAAGCCTTTGTATAAGTACACATATTGCATGCAGGGTTAGCCAGCACATCGAACTGTATGTTTGAACTGTATGTGGCAGCAAGAATGTCATTCTTAACTCTAAACTAGAATGCCAAAATCAGGTATAGTTGCTTCTAAATTGAAAAAAAAAAAAAATACCCAGCTGGTGGAGAGATCACACAGACTGAGATGTTCTCTATAAAGCATAAGGGCAGAGCTCCCCTTTACCTTCGCTCTTGCACTGCACAGTGTAGAGAACAGGGGTGCTGGTTTCCACAGGCTTCCAGACCACTTGCACTCCATCCTTGTAGACCTCCACGATGTCAGGAGGTGGAGGGCTTGGAGGAACTTCTGTTGAAAGGTGGCACAGAAATCACTGTTACCTATTGCACTGCTGTGACACATACCCATAAAGCTTGCATTTTTCATTACAGATAGTCTGTTCTTAAAAAATGATTCATATTGCAACAGCAACTTAACTGTGCCTAATTTAAACACAGCAAAGATTTTAAGACTGTGTCCTGCTACCAAAGAACAAGGGCTGTGAATGGAGACTAGAGCAGGCAAAGGAGAAACTTTCCCCTGAACTTATCCGCAGAGAGCTAAGCTGAGGTACCCACTCCCGAGTGCCCTCACTAGGAGCGTGGAAGGGGGTCACCTTTTCCCAGATTCAAAAGTGCTGTTGTTTTCCAAACCTGGGACAACCTTCAGCTTCCAAACCTGCTTGCTAGATTGAACTAGATCTCTTAACTCCGTAAACCTTCAGCATCTATCTTGCTGTCGCTGCTCCTGAATGCCAGCTGCATTAGCTGTCACAGCGGTCTTCTGGATTTAAAATCCACTCTCTTTCTAACTCTCCAAGTCCAAGGTCTCCTGATTTCAACTGGGTTCTCACAGCTAGCACAGGGGGGAAAACCAAGGAACAAATCCTCAAGAGTTGACAGTTCTGCATACACCACTTGCCACAAGCAAAAATGTCTAGCTATTTCCCCTCTTACCAGCTTTTCTTATGATACAAGAGGTGGATGCTGAGCCCAGAGAGTTGGTGGCCACACAGGTGTAAATACCAAAGTCATCAGCATTAACAGAGAGAATAGTTAACAGCTGGAAGTTTTTGAGTGTGGATGAGATGAGGATCCGGCTGCTGCTGTGGATGGGCCTCCCATCTGAAAGGCAGAGGATATGAAAATTGAGGACTGTGCAGATTTCTACTGAGGGGTCTAAAACATTTTCCTGCACTCAGCCACCCTCGCCCCAGCCTGCCCTGGAGGTAGGGCCTCTCTAAAGGAGTGTCAACGTCACCTCTGAACCAGTCGACGTGCAGGGAGGAGTGAGCCGCCGTCCGGCACGACAGAGTTGCACACTGTCCTACAGCAGCAGCCTGGTCTACAAGCTCTTCAACAAATGAAGGTGCTGCAAAGAAGAGGAAGAGCAGCAGTTCAGGGCAGCCAGGAGAGCTATGTTAACTACACGCAAAACATCAAAAAACATTTTTTATCAGTTAAAGGACATTTTATTCATGCTCTGGCATTCATTCCACCATTGTTTTCTTGAGAATCCCCTGGACATTTAGCATACGGGCTCTGTTGAAATGAGGAAGCCCCCTTCAGTCCCATGCACACAGCATGGCTGCCCATACACTGTGATCAAGATGGCTCTCTCTCTGATGTCTCAAACTTTCCTGCAGACACTAGGCACCACACTCTTCCTTTGGGAAGTTTATTGCTCGCTATGTATTTAACTGGTTTTGAACAGTAAGCCCCTGAAAGGGGCTTGAGGAACATCTGCACTTCACAGCCCTGCTGGTACAGCTAAGGCAGCACAGTTCCTCAGAGGAGATGAAGAGTACGCCACAGCAGGAGTTTTCTACTGGCCTAGCTTAAATATGGAGGTGAAACTGAGCGATGACATCCCAAGGATGAAGGGCTCAGACCAAGGCAATACAGGAAGAGAGAGGAGGAGGGAGAGGCTGGAGGTGGAAGGAGAAAATAGCCCTAGAGCATCAAATTTGCTGCTGTCTCCGTGGGAAAGGGAGAGCTCAGGGTTTTTCCACAGTGCCCAGGATTAATTGCCATCCTCCCACACCTGCTCTTCCTGGCACTTGTCTAGGCTCTGGTTGAATACTGCTTGAATAAAGGGAATGCGAGTGAGACTGCAGGAAGAAGGGGTTGAGGCAGTGGCTGGAAATGCCCGTGATCCCTGACTAGTTGAACAGATAGACCTTGGAGGAAAAGCCAGCACTGAGCAGTCACATCTGAGGGGGGCTGCCCCCACGTTGCTCATTTCACAGCTCTGTCTCCTACAGCAGCTTGTCTGGCCCTGACATGTGCACATGGGACTGGAGCTCAGGAAACGCTCCAGTATCAACTTCACAATTCTGTCTTCTGCTCTCTCGTGTTTGGACTCTCTATTTCTTCTCTTTATAGCTTACAAGTTGAATTTAGTCCTCCGCAGTAGCTTCCTAGAACAGCTCCAACTTTCAAGCAAGGCCACAAGAAGACAGTTTTAGCAAGGACACTAGTAATGATATCAACAGAGGAGTCTGGCTCACTTTGTACAGGTTGGTCCAGGACTATCTCAAGACAGTCATGCAGATCCATGCTTAGCTACTGGCTTCAAGCTGCACAGTTATATTCATTAGTGATATTTCATGATAAAATTAGCTGACGGCTCAGGCAATGAAGAATACCTTTCTCCTTTGGCATGAGGCTTGATAACTTGAATGAAGAGAGTCCCGATTTCCTCTTCAAAGATCCTTCAGCTCCTGTTAATGGCTCTTTTTCTATTGCATCACTTCCCAGCACACCAATCTCTGCTACAAAGAAAGGAAGAGAAGTCATTCGAGCCCACCGTTCTCCCTGCAGCATACATTTACAGCTAACAGTTCTGCAGTTCATATTCGTCAGTCACAGGCTTCCTTATTAATGAGCCTTTTGTCAACATGAAAAGTCGTGACAGCATTTACAAACAGAATGATGTAACGGGAGAACAGGGCATATCTAGGAGAGACAGAGAAGTAAGGACAGATTCTGTTGTCCAGACCTGAATACCGTTACCTTTGGTATATAACCTGGGGTAATTTCACCGACTTCACCCAGTCTCTTTAGCTTTAAAGATTTGTCATTAAGGCCACGGTCAGGTGATGACTGCAGACGTGATTGCAGTGGTTTTTCCCCCAACCTTTGTACGTTGCTGCTGTTCTCTCAGTGGGGTAAAAACTGGAGGATTGTGTCATTCAGCCCTGCACTGCTTTTGTGCAAATTAAGGCAGGTGAATTGAAGCCACTTCCATCAGCGCCCAGCTGACTTTGCCCTGAAGAGGGGCAGTAACAGAGAGTTAGGGGACAGTCTGAGGACAGCTGATTTCCAAACCTGACACTGCCAGTTTTGCAGTCACTGTCTAACCATGGCCTCGGAGACGCTACAAAAAATGTAAAAGGCAGGTTTAGCGGAGCCAAACTATATGAAGGCACAAAATGAAATATTTACCTTCCTCTGCCTCTTGCTCAGAAGCTGCCTTTCCTTTTAGGATTCTTGAAATATGGGCAACAGAAGCTTTAACTTTCTTCTTCAGACTCTGCTCCACCGACTGCTCCACTGAATGAGACCTTCCATAGGGTTTAAAGAGCCCTGGCTTGCTGTAGGAGCTTTTCTGCTTACCGCTTGGGTCCTTTTGGGAGCCATACATTTCCTTATGACTCTCTGACCCTTCCCCCATGGCTAAAAGGTTAGTTGCCTTTGAATTCTCAGGTTTTTCCAAATGGTTTTGCCTGTTTCTCTCCTCTGCCTCTTCTCTGATGCATAGTCTTTTATCCTTACGCAAATGTCCTGCAGGAGGTGACCTTGCCCTTTCACCAAAAGGTATAAATCTTCTACCAGTTGGTTTGGGTGGAGGCTTCCTAAAGTTCATAAATTCAAATGGAAAATAGACAATGTCATATAAATCCGAGAAATTCAAATAGGCGGGCTCTACCTCCGATATGTCAAGTTTTGGAGTTCCACTGCCAAGACTAGGTGCTTCATCTGACAGATCTTTGATTTTCACTAAAGACACTTCTGGGTGTTTACCAGTGTCTTTGCTCACTGAGACTTGACTGTTTTTTTTCCCAGAATCCAAGCTATCAGTCTGGGAAATGCCTACTTGTCTAGAATTGAGGCTTTCAAACGCTAAGTCCTCCAGATGCTCGCATTCATGAGGAACCATTTGTGCTTCCTGTCCTTTCAGTACAGCTGACTCTTCATGCACAGCAAGATCAGGTTCTGTGAGATCATCCAGCTCAGCTACTTCTCCTCCTCTACTGCTTTGACCAGAAGGAAAGAGACTTTCCATGGGTGCTTGACCACCAGGCTCTTTGTAGGACACGTCTGTGGCAGAAGATATGTGCTTTCTGCCTTCCTCCTGAGCAGAAACTGACTCTGCCCAAATGTTCATCTCTTCAGACAGGGAAACCATCTCATCCACTAAGCCCTCCAGCACAGCAGACTCCTCATCACTGTAGAAAGAAGACCTTTGCTGTGAGACCTCCCGACTTCGATTCTCACGGAGCAATGGTGGGACAGTTTTTCCCGTATCAGAGCTTCTAGTCACTGAGGCAGCACCTCTTCCCTCACCGTAAACCTCTGGATGTTCTTCATGTTCTAGGTCATAGACTGAAGCTGGGGAACCTTCTACATGTAAAGGAGTTAAAATACCTGAATGCATGCCCTCCACAGCAGCAGAAACTTTGCCACTGTGATATGCAGCCTTCTGCTGCTCATATGCCTGACTTTCAGTCCTGGAGAAAGAAGCAGGGATAGGCTGTTCAGCAGTTAGACTTCTGCTTCCTGAGACAGCAAATTTCACCTCACTACAAAGTAATAGCTGTGGATGTTCTTGCTTTTCACTCTCATAGACTGCAGGGAGGCTAATATCTTGTGGTGAAACAGTTGCAGCCGGAGGTCTGCCCTCCAGAACAGCAGGCATGGTGCCACTGCACTGAGAAGCCTTCCAGTCTTCAGCTCCCTTGATTTCAGCTTCTTGGACCAAAATGGGAACAGCGTCTGCAAGAGCTGAACCTTCACCCTGCTGAGCAGCCTGCTTCTCCTTGCTATAAGCTGGCCATTCCCTTTCTGCTTGGTGTGCTTTGTCGGAGATGGAAGTTGGCAGTGGTTTTGGGGGTGGGACTTTCAGAACAACAGGACTC